CCTTCAATTAATGAAATATTTTTGCCATAGTATGTGATTCTACATAACATACTGAGACTATTTATATTTTCTTTTTGAAGGATGTCTAGACATTTTGTGTATTATATGGAAAGAGAGTAAAGCTTAAGTCTGTAGTCTTTATGGTCCTAAAAGGGAAAATTGCCTTGGTAACTTTCAGATTCCTGTGGAATTGTGAATTCATACTAAGCTTCTGTGCAGTGTTACCCTTTGTATCACTGAGGATGAAATTGATTTTGGTCTTTTGAAGAAACGAACTACTGCTTGTTCAAGAGGGCTGTGATTAAAATCTTTAAGCATTTCTTATTACCAAGGTAGTTTTCTTGCATTTTGCGCTCCATTTCAGCATGTGTGTGGGTGTGGCTGTTTGTAAACAAGACTTAAGTCTGATTTCATAAGGGCTTTCAAAAAATAATTCTGTCCAATAGAATAATTTTGCTTTCATATTAATTCATTGAGTAAAACAAAAGCTAGTCAAATGTGTTAGCAGCATGCAGAACAAAACTTTAAAATTATCTCTCACTGCACAGTATATTGTCATGTGAAGGTGTGAAATGGAAGATGTGTATCTGTTGTAACCGATTGTGAAAATTTGATTAGCTTTAAAATAAAGTTCATCCTATGGTGTCATTTCTAAAAAAAAAGATTCTTCCTGCAATAGAGACTTGCAATGCTTTAGCTGTCTACTCGCTTTTTAAAAAACTATTCTTCATATTTATTTATTTAAAATAAATTACTAAGCTATAGGACTAGAAAGAGAATAATTACCTGTTCTACTGCAGTTGGCGACTATCTTGGGATAATGTCCCCAGGGTCAAAGACAAAAAGATAAATACTCTTCCTTTATAAGACTTATTTCTAAAACCTGGAAATGTATGTCATCTGGTGTGTTGTAAGTCCTACAATTCAAGATTCTAGATTGTGAGAAAGTAAGTGATTTATTTTCTAAGGTATAAATAGAGTGCTTTCTGTAAATGATATGGACATAATGGATTTAATTTAGGTAGACTTGCTGCAGTTTTTCTCAATTTGTGCAAGTATTTGGATTTGGAAAGCAGATGAAACTTAATAGTGTGCAGGTCCACTACTCTTACCTTATCTGTGGCAGTTATAAAAAAATTATAAACCAATACATTGCTCACATTATTACCATGAGAAGGAAATTTCCTTACCTATCATAGAACTTTGGGGAAACCAACCATCTTACTAATTTTAAGAAGTTAAATTGTAAATTATAAGAGCATTTAGCACACATTTACTCATAATATGCTTAAGTTATGTTTATGCTGGTAAATATCACCTAGAAATACAAGCATATCAAATTCAAAAATTAAAATATTTAATACTAAAATTGTCATTGATATTGATTTTTATTAAATAACAAGAATTAATATATTTATATGCATGTACAACATAATATGTTCTATAAGTTTGCTGCAAGAAATTTGTTAGTTTCTTCATTTTAATCTTACAGTATTTTATTACATGAATTAATCACAGAAGCCCAATTTAGGTACAGAAAAGTTCAAAGACTTCTAGAAGTTTAGAATTCATATTTGAATTTAATCTCAAGTTTTCCTAACTTCAAATTCTATGTGCTTAATCAGCACAACTGGGTATCATTCGTAAAAGACAATGAAATAAATGTCAGTGGCTTTAAATAATTTGTAGCATGGATATCTCCTTCAGAAAAGGAAAAATTCAGTACAGACACCTTTAAGAAATGGCTTGTTAATGAGAGTGGGGGTGATCAGCTAAATTTAGGAGATGCCTCTGACCTCTGAGTGGGGGTGATCAGCTAAATTTAGGAGATGCCTCTGACCTCTGCTGAGACTAATAAGAGCTGAATCCAGCAAGAGAATGAAAGTTACACTGAAGTTTCAGTCTCTTATTCAAAAATGAAATGCAAAGTGTTTTAAATGGCATTGAAGTTATCATGGTGACTTAAGAATAGCAGTAGACCTTGGTCTTAAGTGTTACTCATTAAAGTCATGTGTCACTTGTTGGATGACCATGTGACTCTGATTCATCTGTCACATTTGAAAACTAGGACTGGATTGGATCATTCATCAGCCCCTCATCAGTATTAACACCATACAGTTAGGTAATCTCTTTGCAGTTCCTACAACACCAGAAAACACCTCATGATCAGAAGCACTGTGGTATTCTGACTAAGAATTAAGAACTGGAATCCTACTGTTATGAACCTGGGCCAGTTAAATGTATCTTTATATATATTTCAGGTATTATGTTGTATTAAGAGATGTCCATTTCAAAACATAACTATGACATACAAGGAAATTATGAGTGCCAGGTGCTTGGAAGATATCTTCTTGGTCAGTCTCTATCTTTATCAATTACCTATAGTTTTCATCACTTTCAGATTTTCATATAAGAAAATCCACATGATTGTTAAGCATGTGTATCTGATTTATCTCACTGAATGAAATACTCTCAAGTGCTTCTATTTTTCTACAAATGATTGAAGCATATCTTTTATGCCACAGTATTATTATTTTCAACTAATTTTAATAAAAATCCCAAAACAAAGTTTTACTGAAGAATTTGAGAGCTCTTAAATGTACACAGATGAACTTCTCTTTCACAGAATTGCATAACAGAGTAGGTGTAATTTAATAAATAAAATAGGTACAATTTACAAATTAAAAAATAATGTAAATGTGAAATTCTTGAGAGTATATCACAGGAAAAAAGTCTATATCTCTAGATATTTAATTAATATCTTGGCCTTCTTCCCTCTTTCATGGCCTCCTTTTTACCGGCTCCACACACTCTAAAGCACATAAACAGACAATGTGATGAATCTAAAGTGTAAATGTAGATTGCTCCTAAAATTAAAATACTAATGTTTATAGAGATATGATTGAATAGTCTCTTTGAGGCAATTTCAGAATCTCATAAATCAGGTTTCCTTTTTGGTACTTTAAAATTCAGAAGTTTAAACCTTTAGCTAAAGAGTTGACAGGATTATTGAAAGAACTATTGTTTTGTTTACAAAGTCTGTAAACAAAATTTAGAATTCTGCTTTATCTTACATTTGATAAACAAGTGCTTTATGCAGTGAACCTTTTAAGTGTCCATTGGACTTTCCAAGAAGAAAAAATTAGATCATGTCTGTGTAACATACTTTGTTCATGGGGAATTTACAGAAATATTCTGATATATAGAGTCTATATTGAATTCACTGAAATGCTAACACCGTTAAATTCTGCCCTTAAGAATACAGAAAGGATAAATCCAAACAGAGCTGTGGATAGGATGGAATTCTTAATTTCACCATGGACTAAGATAAAAGTTCTAAAACAAAAACACTGTGATCAAGATTCTACCAATGTTTATTCCCCACATTGCCACCAACTTCCAGAGTCTCTTACTAAATGGCAACTTCTTCATGGATACCAGATCCTTTCACAGGATCCAGTGCACAGTTCTGAGTACTTTTAATTATGTTGTAATGAATAAATAGCAAAACCAGCAGAAATGACAGTCAGAGCTTACCATCAGTTGTCAAAATTTTCTTAAAAAATAACATGAAACATATATTTTCTATTTATTATTTATAGAAAAGTCACATGGGTGAATAAAAGGCATATATGAATGTGAACAAATTACTTGGTCTCAAAAATTATCTATGGGAAAATAAATACTAATTCATATGATTGTGATAAACTAAATTAATCCCAATAAAAGTTTTAAAGTCTCAGAAGAGCTGATTTTCCTGACACTTTTTAGAGTTTCATTTCTAGGAATCATGTATTGTAAAATTTATTTTTACAACAAAATCAATAGTCAATGCAATTTTTATAAATCACACAAAACTATTGGGAAATAAAGTACAATTCCACATTTCATGTGATTGTTTATTTTCAAAACCTGCTTTTGTTTTGAGAGTGTGACATTTTAATACTAATTTTGTATGAATCAAAATAAGAACAAGATTGTATCTATTTACTTAATATTTCAAAAATTACAGATGTTCTCAAATATATCCCTCTGTTTTTAATAATTGCAAAAATATATAATTTAATTAAAATTATAATTATAAAATATAATTAAAATTATAATTAAATTATAATTTAATTAAGATATACTATGATGCCCAATATGGATTGACTATCATCCTTTTATTTGAGGTCCTGTAAGGTCCTCAGTGTAGATTTTATTGGTTTTATTCCGTATTGTTTTGATCAATTCTATTATACCTGATGATATAGACAACTCAATTTAAAAATAGCAAGAGGCACAATGGTAACCACTTTTGATCACCTGGTATTCTATTTTTGCATCACATGCTATGCCCACCCTTCTGTTCTGACTGTTTTGCTTAGTCACATTTGTTTTTATTCTCTTCAAAAAAGTAATAAGAACCGTGAGAGTAATAAAACCCTAAAAGTCTAATTGTTACTGTAAAAAAGAGAGGAAAGCAAGGTGGACTAAGGGATATAACCGCAGGTATGTTTGAGTGTGTAGGATGGAAAACCATATAACTGAGCTTTTGTTGGATCATTGAACGGAACTGTCTCCAATTTCACTGTATGAATGTCCACTTTATATGCTTTCATTTAGTGATATGACAACTGTTCTGGGAAGATAATATGCAGCCTATTAACTGGTGATTTAGTACTGTATATATTTTTTCTAGAAATACTGTATTATTTGTACCCTTTTACTACATTTTTAAATGTCCTTTCTTTTTTTCTTCTTCTCTTTAAATAAAAAAATTTTCTATCATCTCGTTTGAAAACCTGTATTACTATTGTTTTAGGATTTTTGTTGTAGTTGTTTCTTTTTTGTTTTTGTTTTCTGTTTTTTCTTTAAAATAAAAAAATTACAAAAGAATTTATTAACTTTTTATTTACTTTAAAATTTAGAGTAAGGATATCTTTGCTTTATCTCTCACCCAGTTCAATTCACAGCATCGAATGCCACCTAATTTCAGACTGAAAATTATAAAACCTAAGATGTTGGAGCCTAATTACACTGCGCCAGCCGAGTTTGTACTTGTGGGATTCACAGATTTCCTCCCTCTCAGAATCACCTTGTTTGTGGTATTTCTTGTAGTGTACATGTTAACTGTGTCAGGAAATTTGGGCTTAATAATCCTAATTAACACTGATCGCAGCCTCCGAAATCCAATGTATTATTTTCTGAGCAACTTGGCTTTCTTGGACATCTGCTACTCTACAACAATTGCTCCCCAGATGCTGGCAAACTTCGTGGCCTCCAAGAAGCGCATCTCCTTCCAGGGCTGCGCCCTGCAGATGCTCTCCTTCGCCTGCTGCGTGGATGCGGAGTGCCTGGTCCTGGCTGCCATGGCCTACGACCGCTATGCTGCCGTCCGCCAGCCTCTGCTGTACTCTGCCCGGATGACTCCCAGGTTCTGCCTCGGCCTGGTCCTGCTGGCCTACGCCAGTGGAAGCACCACCTCGCTGGTGCACGTCTCACTGGCCTTCAGGCTTTCGTACTGTGGCTCTAACGTGGTCGATCATTTCTTCTGTGACATTCCCCCACTTCTGGCTTTGTCGTGTGTGGATACTCACATCAACCAGCTTCTACTCTTTGCCCTGTGTGGTTTCATTCAGAGCAGCACCTTTGCGGTCATATTTATCTCCTACGCCTGTATCCTCCACACCGTATTGCTCATGAAGTCTTCTGGCGGCAGAAGCAAAGCTTTCTCCACCTGCACACCCCACCTCCTGGCTGTGGCCTTATTCTATGGGACACTCCTATTCATGTACTTGCGCCCTGCCGCCAGCTACTCCCTGGCCTTGGATAAAGGCATTGCTGTGTTTTACACTGTTGTCTTTCCCATGTTCAACCCAATCATCTATAGCTTCAGGAACAAGGATGTGAAAAACGCACTTAAAAAGCTTCTTGAAAAAGAGTGGATTTTCAGATGAATAAAATCTGAATCATTTCCTCCTAAGTAAACACTAACTTTCTCTTCTAAAGGCATCGTTAGCCACCTCCTGTATCTACTATTTGAAATTTGTCATCATATCCTAGACATAAATGTAGCTTTTAATCCTAAATGCCTTAAAGTGTGTTATTATTTCTTTCAGAAAAATTTTCTCCAAAGTTTGCCTACCTTTTAAGACATTGCTAAATGAAAATGACTGTTAACATTTTCTCTTTTACTGTTTCCAAAATGTTTTGAATATTTGCTCATTCATATTCTTTATCATGTTTTATAAAAAGCATAGATTATTTAATAGTTATCAAACCCAGTTAGAAGCTGTTTAAGGCAAAGAATATGCATACTATTTTCAAAATGTATGTAATACCTAGTATTTTGAACATCTTTCTTACACATGTAACACAAAGGATGATTGGATGGATACTTGGAAAGATGATCAGGTAAATTAAATATGCTCCATTTATGAAAGGTAGTGAATCTAGGTTCTGTACTTAAAAATCATTCATTAACACAGAAATTTTATAGTATTAATAATGGCTGGGAATGGCAGTGGTGGTGGTTCTTGTGGCTTTCAGGAATTCTGGAAGAAGGTATAGTTTAATTATTTCTTTACTACTGAGTCACAGTGAAATATCAAATCTGATTTTCTTTAGGTTGAGTTAGTTACTTCAATGGGTCTCTTCTATACACAGCACCTAGTGTAATTCTAAGTTATACTGAAGATTATTAAGATTATGTATTGCACTGATTATGTATTACACTGAAGATTATTAAGATTATGTATTGCAAAACACTGATTATTCATAATCTATTTTATAGACATATTCATTGAGGATGTTTCTTCAACAAGAGGTAAACAATTGCTCTGATAATTTTTTTTCTGTAAGTTTACAATGCAAACTCATTTTACCACAAGCAGTTTTTCCCCTGAGATCTTTTTTCTTTTCTTCTGTTTTTTTTATTTTTTCTTTTGTTTGCTTTTTTTTTACCTTTTCTTTTGAAACAGGGTGTTGCTCTGTAATTCAGACTGGTTTTGAACTCACTTTGTAGCCCAGGTTAAATTGGAACTCATAGCGATATTTCTGCCTTAGCATCAAAAGTGCTGGATTATAGGTGTTCGCCACCATGCCTGGATAATAGGTTGCTTTTTTGTTTTGTTTTGTTTTGGTCTACATGAGATCAGTTTTTATCATCAACAGACTTTTTTTTTTTGCTTTTTCCCATTAATTATTTTTTTTATTTAAGAGGAAAAAGAGAAAAACACAAAACAGAACAAAGTAATGTAAGGTTACACATAATACAGAACTACAAAAAAAAAAAAAACATAACAGTAAGAAATCACCTGTTAATAGATTACATATTATCATCTTGGAAATAGTTGCTCAAATCACAGTATCAAAGAATACAAAGTAGACATTCAAACAGAGAGACTGCAAACAGCTGTGTTCAATGATCCAAAAACATTAATATAGTCAGCTATTTAACACCCCTAAACACACTTGCTGTTATATCCGTTAGAGCACTTCTTTTTTTTTTTTCCTCCCTCTCTTTTTTACAACAAAATTTACACATTTTGGATTTTATTACTCCTTAGTTCTTGTTACCTTTTTGGGGGGGGGGAGAGAATAAAGTCAAATATGGCAAAACAAAGCTGTAAGTCAAAACCAAGGATAGACATAGCACATGATGTAGAACAGAGTACAAGGTTATCAACAATGGTTATCAACGTTGTCTCTTGTTTCCTTAAAAGGAATTGTCTATCTCATTAGATATTATAAAGTTGGACAAAACAGTAGAGAACAAGACCAATAAAACTTAGGCATTGTGAACATTACAGGACTTCCAAAGGAGACAATAGTCAAACCAGAATGGGCATCTTTGTGAATCTTATTGCCTTCAAATTAGTTGCCTATACCCTCAGACTTGCTACTATCGCACAGAATGGAACAGAGTCTAATCAGTCAAAACAAGATCGTGGGAGTATTACAGGACTTCAAAACAAGTCAATAGGAGATCGAAAAGAGTTACTATTATATATCCTAATTTTTAAAATTTTTCCCTTAATTAAAATAAACATAAGAAATAGCTAAATAATTTTTTAAAGAATAGTAGTTACCATAGTGTCTGTCTTTTTCCTTAAAATATTTGGATAAAACTTCATATACTATAGCTTCAAATATTTCCATATCAAGAAGCCCAGAATAAAGTCTTTCTAATTAATAAGTGAAAATTTTATAAGGCTTCAAGGCCACATAATGGGGAATCATGATTATCACATATTTTTATATATTTGAATCATTACTTACATTAGGGAAACTATTCGGTATTCATACATGCGAGATTGATTTATTTCACTTATGAGTATGGTCTCAAGCTGCGCCCATTTATTGATAAATATCTCAATGTGATCCTTCTTTATAGCTGAATAATACTCCATTGTATAGAAATACCACAACTTTTTTATCCATTCCTCAGTTGATGGACACTTGGGTTGTTTCTAAGATCTGGCGATTACAAATTGTGCTGCTATAAACATAGGTGCACATATATCCCTGTGGTATGATGCTTTCAGTTCTTCTGGGAATATGCCTAGAAGTGGAATAGCTGGAATAAATGGGATTTCCAATCCCAACTTTTTGAGAAACCTCCAGACAGACCTCCACAAAGGCTGTACCAGTCTACAGTCCCACCAACAGTGCAGGAGAGTTCCTTTTTCCCCACAGCCTCTCCAGCATTTGTTGTTGTTCATTTTCTTGATCCTGGCCATTCTTTCAGGAGTGAGATGGTATCTCAGTGTGGTTTTAATTTGCATTTCTCTAATGACCAATGATGATGAGCATTTTTTCATGTATTTATTTTCCATTTGCATTTCTTCATCTGAGAATTGCGTATTCATCTCAGATGCCCATTTTTGGATTGGACCTTTGAATTTTGGTCTGAGTGAGTTTTTTTAATTCTTTATATGTTTTAGACAAGAGTCCCTTGTCTGAGAGAGAGTTCACTAAAATCTTTTCCCAGTTTGTGGGTTTTCTTTTCACTATGCTGGAGATTTCTTTTGACATGCAGAAACTTTTTAATAAGAAGTGGTCCCAGTTATTGATTCTGGGAAGTATTTCCCGTGCAGTTTGAGTCCTGTTCGTGAATTCTCTACCTACTCCTATGTCTCCAAGGTTTCTACCCAATTTGTCTTCCAATAGATTTAGCGTTTCTATTTTAATATTCAGATCTTTGACCCATTTAGATTTTAATTTAGTACATGGTGATAGACATGGGTCTAGCTTTAGTTTTCGGCAAATGGAGAGCCAGTTTTTCCAGCACCATTTATTAAAGAGACTGTCGTTCTTCCAATGAACCTGGTTGGCTCCTTTATCAAAGATAAGGTGGTTGAGTGTGTTTGTAGTTGTGGTTGTATCTTCTAATCTATTCCATTGATCTTCAGCTCTGTTTTGATTCCAATACCATGTTGATGTTACTACTGTTGCTTTGTAGTATAATTTCAAGTCAGGGAATGTGATGCCTCCTGCTTTGTCTTTGCTGCTTAGAACTGCTTTTGCGATTCTAGGTCTCTTCTGGTTCCAGATGAAATTTAGGAGTGATTTCTCTAGATCTATAAGGTATGTTGATGGTATTTCTATTGGGATTGCATTGAATCTGTATAAGAGTTTTGGGAGAATGGCCATCTTCACAATGTTTGTTCTTCCTATCCATGAGCAAGGGATGTCTTTCCATTTTCTGAGATCATCTTCAATTTCCTTTTTCAGTGTATTATAGTTTTCACTGTATAAGTCTTTCACTTCTTTTGTAAGAGTAATTCCTAAATATTTCATTTTTTTGCTTGCTAATGTGAATAGTCCAGTTTCTCTTATTTCCCTCTCTGTGATTTTGTTGTTCGTGTATAGGAATGCTATTGATTTCTGAGTATTGATTTTGTATCCAGCCACATTACTGAATTTATTTATTGTATCTAAGAGTCTTTCAATGGAGCTTAGGGGGTCTTCTATGTAGAGTATCATGTCATCTGCAAACAATGACAACTTAACTTCTTCTTTTCCTATCTTTACCCCTTTTATTTCTCTTTCTTGCCTAATTGCTCTGGCTAGTACTTCCAGTACTATATTAAATAGGAGTGGTGATAAAGGACATCCTTGTCTTGTACCCGACTTTAAAGTAAAGGCTTTCAATTTTTGGCCATTTAGTATGATGCTGGCTGTTGGTTTGTCATAAATGGCCTTTATTATATTGAGGTAAAGACCATCAATTCCAATTTTCTGTAGAGTTTTTATCATGAATAAATGTTGGACCTTATCGAAGGCTTTTTCTGCATCTATAGGAATGATCATGTGATTCTTATTTTTGGCTTTATTGATATGGTGGATTACATTTATTGATTTGCGTATGTTGAACTATCCTTGCATTCCTGGGGTGAATCCCACTTGGTCATGGTGTATAATCTTCTTGATGATTTGCTGGATCCTATTTGCTAATATTTTATTGAGGATTTTTGCATCTGTGTTCATTAGGGAGATCTGTCTATAGTTCTCTTTTATAGTTGGGTCTTTCTCAGGTTTTGGTACTAGAGTAATATTTGCTTCCAGGAATGACTTAGGAAGGATTGCTTCCCTTTCAATTTCATTGAATAGTTTGAGGAGTGTCGGCATTACGTCTTCTTTGTATTTCTTGTAGAATTCTGCAGTGAATCCATCTGGGCCTGGGCTCTTCTTGGTGGGTAAGGAATTAATTACATTTTCAATTTCAGTAGCCGAGATTGGGTTATTCAACAATTTTACATCCTCTTGATCTAGCTTTGGCACTTCATATGCTTCTAAGAATCTGTCTATTTCTTCTGTGTTATCAAACTTTTGAGAGTAGAGGTTTTCGAAATAGGTGTTGATGATCTTCTGTATTTCTATTGGTTCTGTAGTGACTTCTCCTTTTTCATTTCTTATTGCATGAATTTGAGCTTTTTCTTCCCTTTTTAAAATA